TTTGGAGGCAAGTTATTCTACTGATTAATTGTTCTGTCAGGAAATTTCTCCTTAGTTCTACGTTGCTTCTCCCCTTGATTAGTTTTGACCCATTGCTTCTTGTCCTACCCTCAGGTGCTTTGGAGAATAGCTTGACTCCCTCTTCTTTGTGACATCCCCTGAGATATTGGAACACTGCTATCATGTCACCCCTGGTCCTTCTTTTCATTAAACTAGACATAACCAGTTCCTGCAGTCATTCTTCATGTTTTGCCTCCACTCCCCTAATCATCTTTGTTGCTCTTCTCTGCACTAGAATCTTTCATCTTTTTTACATTGTGGCGACCAAAACTGGATTATTTGGTTATTCTATTTTTATTTTAACTCATAGATTGAGGAATTTTATGCCACTCAATAGAATATTTTTTATTGGAGTAGCCTATAAACCTATTTTATTTCAAATTTCTAAGTATTTTACAGGTTAACGGGATACTTAGAAATCTGAAACAAAATGTGTGGCATTCAAACTTAAGGCAGGCCTAAACGCACAGTCTCACATATAGTTAATGTAAAAGATTGACGTATATCTAAATTACATAAGCGAAAATCCACAAGTCTTTTTTTGCATGCAACATAAAAAGTAGAAAGAATTCTAATAAATTACTGTTACTCCAAAATAAGCATACTTGACTATTTAAAAAATGACAAAAAATAAAACACACTGCAATTAGCAAAACAAGCAGTAAATTCTACTTTGTTCAATGGGAATTTTGAGTAAAAAGCACAAAACCAGATTAATTCATCTAAAAAAAAAGAACAGTACTAGAACTCATTTTAGTCTTTTCATACATCTTTTTTTACTTGGTGCAATCTCAGAAGATGCTAATTGCTTACTCTTGACAAGGAAGCTGTAATCTGTAATGTTTTCCCACAAACTTTCCCACAAGCTTGCAATCAGAAAGAATGGGCAATGTATTGGATTGCTACACTAGCTACATTAGTTAATTTAATAGTGAAACTCAGAATTTGAAGAATTTGAAGAACAGAGAACATCTATGGGTTATCTGGTGTATAAGTGCACTGGGGAGAATCTGCCAAGCAAAAGGCTACCATCCTTTAGCCAGAAACATGCTAAAAGTTTACATTTTGCCATTATAGTGAAGACAAAAAAATGATAGAGGCCTTCAAGGAACAATGCTTTTTTGACCTATGAAAGATTTGTTTCCTGATTCATTAATATAATATAGTTTTCCAATGATATTTAGTAAACTCTTACTGATGAAATAAAACTTTGTAACCATTCTTGTTTCCCTTATTTCCAATTGCAAATCTACATCTAATTATCAAATGTTAAGTTCTTTGTAAAAGGCCTATCCAATTCAATCAAATGCAATTTGCAACCATTTCCAAAACATAGCCTAGCCACCATAAACAGAGATGGCATCACAGCAAAAATAAAAGTCACTCTTGGACCATTCCTATACAATTTTTCAGCAGCCTTACGGAAGCTTGCCTTTAGCTTCTTGCAGGATTTTTTTTGACATATAGCTCTGGAATAAACACAATGCTTAATTTTCCAAATCAGTCAAATGGCAAGATGCCACCACCTGTCAAATCCTTTTAAAATGACTAGTCTAAAGTAATTTCTGGCAACTATATGCTCCTACAGTTTTCTTAGAATTATTATGGAAGAGGTTTGGTATGCCCTTTTGAGATTTTTTGGCCCAGGCTAGCCAATACCTTGGAATTCCAAAGTGCAATTGAACTGAATTGAATACTTAATTTGCCCAAGTATGATTAGAAACACAATTGTGTCAAATTCATCCAAGTACAATGACACTTTCTTAACTTAGACTCTCCCACAAATAACTTATATTATAAAATAGTTAAATTCATATTATATATAAATGATAAAAATATGAATTATGACATTAACAGCAGCATGAAATTATTAAGCAAATAACGTAAATCATGGCATATGTCATTATTTACATTTACTGGACATTAGACTAACAGACACTCTTCCCCAAACTGATCTAGATTTATAGTGAAATAAAGATTTCACTACACTAACTAGAGCCATTCATGGGCTTCAGTATTAGTTAAGCTCATAATTCCATCATAAACAAATTTTACAATATCCTTAACTTTTGTTATCTCAAACAAAAATTAATTTTCTTTCTTTTTTCAAGAATCTTCCTAGATTCACACTTATGGTCTAGGACAGTTTTTTACACAATGCCATTTCTCATGGTAGCTTAGTCTGAATTTATCTTAGTCTAAATTTGAACTCTTAGTCTGAATTAATCTTATGCCACTTGTTCAGAATCCAAACACTGCTCAGTTATTTAGTTGTTTCTTTTTATTCTCTAAGAAGAAAACAGAAACTTTATATAAGAATAGCCAGGTGGCCTTTTTTGGGGGGGAGGGGGGGGAATCACATATCATCCACTTCCAGCAACTAAAGTAAGAGAGTGGTGTCCATTATATTACTCTTACAAAATAAAGCCTATAAAGAGGCTAGATTCTGATGAATCAGAGTTTCTTATTCACAGATTAATTAGACAATGAGATTTATATAACTGATAGAACAGATTATTTTTTTCAAAAGTACTTTTGATAATACAATTTAAGACACTGCTACTAATTTTAGCGAAAATCCTCATCTTAAGATAATAATAAGACAATTCAGAAACGGACAAAACTGAGTAAATACAATTTTTGCTGATATATTTGAGAAATAACTTTATTAAATAAACCTTCCAAATTAACTCGTGACAAATTACACTCATATCATAATTTATTTGAAAGCAGTGATAATCAAGGTTTTTTTCCCCCTGCAATCTTCTAGATTTACAAAAGCAAATTAATTTTATTAGAATATGTGATCCAAGTTATGTCTAACAATTCTGGTAATTTAGGTAATGTTTCTGAAATTGCAGATTTGAATTATTCAATTTTGTAGCATTCTGTAGCAATCTGCTTTGCCATAAAGATAACTAACATACTGTTTCTGCAATCGTGATACTTAAAAATATAAAAGCAACATCTGAAAAAATTAAAACAAATCTTCATTACAAAATGATTTGTTTTCTTGGTTTAAAAAAAAACCTGGAATCATAAGGCAAATAACATTTCTCTAAACCAGTAAACTGTATAATTAGTAACACAACCGAGCAATATAATGGTTGAATTCAGGAGTATGTTTCCATATCAGAGCCATGTTCTTTAAATGCTCTGATAGTAGAGGTAGAACCAACAAACTTTATACAATAATATTGCACTCTCATTTAAAAATTCTCAACTTATTTTTCGTGAAAGAGCTAGGATTTGGGAAGACACCTGTGGTCATAGCAATTAAAGCAATAGAACAAAAAATACATTACACACATATCCAAATTTAAACTAACTAAAATCAGAAAACTTACAATTAAACACCAACTCAAAATAAAAATGATCCCAGAGTCTTTCTAGTGCTTAATAAAGCAGGTAAGATTAGTGCTATCTTTGAATAGAGAAAAAATTAAAATTAATGTTCATCCATACCCAGGTTAAACCCTATCTACTGTAATCCTGTCCCCCCTTGGCTAGACAGATACCATGATCATATAGAATATAATATCCTAATACATAATTTCATATCTTATATTTTACTGAGAATTTAATATTATCTAATAATTAATGGAAATCAAGCCACCTATAGGCTTTGTAAGTGTTATAACATAGCTTTTAAACATTATTTACTAAACCAACTACAACAATTGCAATTGTATAAGCAGTGTATGAAAGTCATCATACACATGAAAAGTGATCAGAAAAACAATTGAAAAAAATATTTTTCTGACCACTTTTCAACAAAGGAACAAACAATAACACACCTCTTAAAGTAGTGGCATACAAAATGTTTTGAATTTGAACTACTGTATTTTTTGGACTATAAGATGCACTGCAGAATAAGACGCACCATGATTTTGAAGAGGTAAATTTTTTAAAAAAGTTTTTGCACCCTGCAGGCCTCCCAAACCCTCTGCATGCCTCGTTTTTTTGCCAAAAAAAGGGGGGGCATGCAGAGGTTTGGGAGGCTTGTAGAATACTCCTGGGGCCGGGCGGCAAAAACAACCTGGTTTTTGCTCGATTTTCTCCTACGCAGCCCTCAGGAGCACTTTGCAAGCCTCCCAAACCGTCTGCACATCCAATTTTTCCAAAGGGGGTGGGTTTCGGTAGGCCAAAAATGTATAAGATGCACCCAGATTTTCACCCTCTTTTTTGGGTGGAAAAGGTACAACTTATACTCCGAAAAATATGGTAATTTGAATTCAAAATGCCATTTCAAGTTCAAAATGGCTGTTTTGATTCAAAAAACTTTCAAAATGATTGAAAACTTCATTTTAATCTGCAAAATAAGTATTTTGCATTCAATACAATCATTTGGGTCTTGAAAAGTAGCATTTCAAATTCATGTTATTTTGCATCTACAATGTTTTGCAAAACCCAAAATTCAAGACACAAAGCCAATATAATCTTCTCTCACATATTCTATTATTAATGCTATTCTTAAGAACAGTATTAGCCTATGGAGTAGTTTTTAGCACTTGCAATTAAACAAATTATTATTATTTTATTACCTGATGCACAATCATTCTACATATGGAAAACCTTCCATATTTATAAATTCAAGCAACTGTTTTGAATAATGTACTATACGTAGACTCCAATAGATGAGTTATTATACAGTTCACATCCATGTAATATTTATTCTTAATATACATTGATAAGATTATGTATGTTTGTGTTATATGTATTATCTGCAAACATGCTGGAGGCATCTGGCAAGACACCCAAAAGCACCACTAAAGGATGGCACTTTGAAAATGTATTTTTCATTGTCAATATTCAAAATAAAATCTTTGACATACCTTGTTCATTGCTCCAGGCTGCGGACCTCTCAGGCTTGCCTGCCCTCCCATTTGAGGAGAACCTTGCTGTAATGTCTCTGCTATTAGAGTACCAGCATTTCCCATTCCTGGGTTTGGATATGACATATTGGAACGTCCTCTTCCAGCTCCAATTGAACCGTTCATAACTTGTCCTTGCATCATTCCTTGCCCATTTCCTGCAGATAACATACCAGGATTCATGCCAGCATTTATTCCTGCATTCATGCCCATTCCAGGCTGATTTACTGGACTATTTACTGTTTGCATCATTCCTGCAGTGGACTGAGTTGATGGACCTTGATTTGGCCCACCTGTACCCATCCCCAAATTTGGAGATGTCAGTGCAGCCTGTGCCATGGGACTTTTGACCATACTATTTAAGATTCCCATTCCAGGATTGTTCTGTTGTGGCTGACTGGCCATATTCTGTGCTGGCCCAGCAACTCCCATATTAAGGTTTGGCGAGCTGCCAGCTCGTAGCAGTTCTGACAACTGTTTGTGTTTAGAAGCAGCATCTTGTGCCATACCAAGGCTAGTCTGCAGTTGATTAATGTCACCACCATTAGTAAGTCCCAGTTCCGTAGAGCTGATAAGTTCATCTGGTAAGTCATGTTCCAAATCAAAGAGAGATCCAAAATCTAGAGAGAAAAGTAATTAAAAAAATGATTAGAGCACTTTAGCAAACATTTCAGCTGGTTTTTATTCAGTATTGATAGAATGGCTATCTAATTAGTTTTAGATTATTCTTTAAAAAATAAAATATCACCTCAACAGCCCTCTCAAATTTCGTTAAATAATATTTTAGAATATACCCAGTTCAGCTATGCAATACTATCAATTAACTCACATTGGTTCCAGGGTTATAAGCTTTTAGATATCCCTCAAATGTCAAATGTGACATCTTACAGTTGCTACTAACCCCAGTGCTTAAAAACTAAGAGCAGCAAATCAGTGCACATGCCTAAACACCATTGTTTCAGCAAGATTTTGCTGGGAAATAGATAGCATTAAACACAATTCAGCAATTCCATTCTTTACTTGCCTAATTTTTAGTTTTCTAACTTGTCACTAACATGATCCAGCACATCTAGTAGGAAAGTTTACCAGGTAAAAACTGAATAGACAAATTGTTCTATTTTGCTGAAATTGACCTACAAAATTTACAAGTTTAAAAATTATGTAATTAGAAGATATAGAAATATGAGATCAACTTATTCCATGTTTCTGAATGATCAAAAAAAGTCAATTCAAATCTCATTTCGGTTCTATTGCTAAATTTATTCAATGTGTGAATATAATATTGGCCAGACACAATATGCTAAAGGATGAACAGTTGTAATTCTACAGTCTTTATTTCAAGATATTCAATAGGTAAAAATCTTAAAAGAAATACAAAACTTTATAAGAGCCAAGTCCTTTGGCTTTTATACTATTTGCCATTCAGAAACTTCCTGCAATAAAATCTTGAACTGTTTTAACAGCTTTCTAAAATTCCAGAATCCCCCCCCCCCCAAGACAGCTTTAAGATCTGCTGAAGGAAAACCTAAAGGAAGACTACCAATGCCTACAAGCAGTTGCTCTTAAAATTAGTTTTGGAAGCATGGGAAATTCTAGGTGACTTTATTTTTTAAATAATTAATAAAATATTGTTCCAAGAGGCACAAATTCTCCTACTCAACAAGTTTAATAGCTTACCATACTATTTCAAAGAGCTTTAAAGTGTGTTAATATACCTCAACAATAGTTCTGAAAAATGTAACATTTGCAAACAAATGTAGCAGCTTCTTGTAAGTGACAAGGCAGATCAGACCAAAACCCTGAGTTTTAGCAAAATATTCAAGACATTCAATGTTTGTTGCTATTTTTAAATCAGATATGTGCCATTTTTCAAAACTAAAATATTTCTAGGACAGCTGATAAAACAATTTGGCAATCAAGAACTATACCTACAAAAAAAGGGATATTCTTTGCCACTATTTATATGTGGGGGGGAAGTGCATGATGCCACACTGAAGTAATATAAATGAACAATTTCCAACGTATTTGAAGAAAATATTCTATGATCCAAGTATTGATAAGCATAAATATTAACAGATTATTAATGTGGTTTTCAATTTTATGATTTACCCCTTAAACAGGAGCTAAATTTGAGAGTTCTTAGATTCAGTTCTTATCACTTGGTAGTATTTATTTGCAAGTAAAATCTTTATAATGGTTCCAGAGGTATACCAACGTGTACTATGTATTTTTGAAGGCTACAAAAATTCGATGTGTCTTCCTCTCAGAGCAGGGATCTCCAAACTTGGCAACGTTAAGAATTGTGGACTTCAACTCCCAGGATTCCTGGTTGGGGAATTCTGGGAGTTGAAGTCCACAACTCTTAAAGTCACCAAATTTGGAGATGCCTATCTTAGAGAAAGGAGACAGGGAATCAGTTTATTGCTACCTCCTCACACAGCTCATTAACAGAGCACATTTGGGGAAATATAACCAGCCATATTACAAAAATACTTGCTGCTTTAATAGTTGTAGATAAATTACATGGCCTTAAAATTGGAAAAGTAAAGTTCTGAAAAGTATTCAGTTACATATGTATACATGATATCTCTGAATACCAGCCAATATGATGTAGTTGTTAAACAATATGCAATAATATTAGCGTTAGTTCCTAAGATATCCTCTGAATAACTCTGAGTTGAATAATCCCATGAATGGAGAAGGGGATGATTATGTTGATTCACCTATTTCCACTTCAAAAATAACTTTTGAAATTTAGTTTGTATGTTCATTGGAAATTAAATTCTGACATACAAAACAAACTTCATTTAATGATCTTTTAAGAAATACATTTTTCAGTATGTAAGCAATTTCTATTTTAAAAATCAGAAGCTATTGGCTTTGGTTGATGGTAAAAGCATTTTATGATACAGATTGCAGAAAAGCAAGCACCTACCAATATACTGTATGTTTAGTTTAGTAGCATTTATTGAAACTTGCCTAAAATACAATTACAGCAGATGACATAACTGCTATAAGTAATAACTGCATTAAGTGAGAATTTGAACAAACCTCTAATCTTAATATCTGATTCCAGAGATTCTGCATGAAGGAAGGAAAAAACAAGAGACTATATATTCTACACACTCTCAGAAGTTTATCTTATGGCTCCTTAAAGAGCCAAAGGCAACCACATATAACACAGATGGAAACTGAAATGGCATGCTTCTTTGCCAGAACTCCCTCTGGGATCTGAGATCCACAGGATCCTATAGTACATCAAAGCAAAAACACCTGCTACCACTTCCTTAGTGTTCCTGAATCCTAGGAAAGTGATAATCACTTCTGCCATGAAATCACAAACCAGAAACGAGGAACATTATAAAAGTTTCTCACTTCAACTACCTTTTACCTTACATATACCAAAAGATGGTAAGTTCCACTCACATCATTACTTTTTATAAATGCTTATACAAAATGCTAAACTATTAATGTAATATTCTCATTTTTACAGAAAGTCTATCTCAGTTAAACTTTATATATGTCAAATATTGTTATAATTGTTCAGACATTTGGTATAAATTTTGTCAAAAATAGAGGAATCTCAAAATTCTGAAACAAACACAAAACCATTCAAACTTGATAACTTTAAAACATATGCTTGAAGGATGAAGGAACAGTCAAATACTCCTTTCAGAATTCTTAGACCTAACTTATTGAGAACAAATAATTTGGTACTTGCCAAGCTGTTTAGCATACACTACACGTATTTACAGGTAGTGTAATAGGCAAGATGACAGAAACAACTCATTTCTGGAAAGGAAAAAAAAGACCTGTACATGTAGTATCATTAAACTGAAGAATTGCAGTTTACTAGCAGGCATAATAGGACTTGCATACCTTAACTGCAGAAATACAACTAAAATGAAATGCATTCTAAGATGACTTCAGTCAAAAATCTATGTGAAAAAAACAGATTCAAAATATTGTGAGCGGGATTATAAGCAAAAAACACTACCCCAGTAAATAACTATAGCTATGTCCTTTGATTCATTTCATGCTTATGCTGTTAAATAGATAATTCTTTTTGCCTCTCCTTTTGTTCATTTGGAGTGGGATTGTTTATCGTCAAACAATAAAACATTAAAATCCTACATGAAAAATGCTCAGTATACAAGGTATTCTTGATAACTATGGCAAAATGTTTCAGGGAGAACTGTATTAATAGGTAATCATGTGTAGAGATTCTTGGGAATAAAGTTACTTTTGGGGATAAAGACAGAATTATATCTATTAATCTTTCTTATTTTTCTCATATTGAAGGCAAAAGAAAAATGGTAGGGCAGAGGATGAGATGGTTAGATAGTGTCATCAACACAATGAACATGAATTTGGGGAAATTCCAGGAGACAGTGGAGGAGTGAAGGACAGAGGGCTTGGCATGATGTGGTCCATGGGGTCCTGAAGAGTCAGGCATGACTTAGTGACTGAACAATAATTTTTATTGTAATTGCATAATGTAGTTGCATTTGCAATTTGCCAACAGATATGGCTTCCTGGCTCTTTTCCCATAGCTCCCAAATAAATTTAGCATTTACACCTGTGCATGTTGTAGAAAACTAGAGTAAGCAAAAAAAAAAAGAACAGAAAAATGAATCTAGAGCATGTAATATCTAGAAAAAAGATGCAGCACTGTGACGCAGCATTATGGGAAATATGTTAGTAATTTGTTGCAACTATGAGATTTACTATTCTTACATATGTAACATTTTTCTGTATAGCTTTTTTTTCAGAACACACTAAATCACAGATATCTTCACACCTTTAGAAAATTGAATATTAAAACAAAGTCAAATTAGCAATTCACTAGTTGCAATATATTTAAATAACTTAATATTTATAACCTTACTATATTTGAAAATCTCCAACTATTATTTCAAAGAGAATTCAACCAACAAAAATAAAAATTGTATTCATAATGATTAATGAAAAGCTAGAAACATTTAGCAACTATTTGGAAATGATGGTAACGAATTAAAACAGTCAATGGAACACATTTAATTTGATTTATATTTCTAAAACAATTTGGAAAGATGTAATGGCTTATAAGGCAAAACTATGGCTTTTTAGGAGAATAAAATTGTACCATTTTCATTGGCAAAAGCATTCATTGAAAAAGTTCATTGAATCCAGTAAGATTTATATCTGAGTATATATGCATTCATTAACAATATACTTATATGACTATGAATTCATTCAATGGACTATAGACTCAGAAAACTGCACAGACTTGCAACTTTACATCAGGATGCCTATTTTCAGTTGTCTATATAGGAAAGGGGTACAATGTTAAGGATTATTCTATAACATAAATTTGAAAAAGTATGTATTATTTTATAGCATTTGTTTTATATACCTCAAAGAATTCTGAAGGCAGATTCTAATCTTGCTTTCCTATTAGCAAAATGGAACTTGTTGATTTTCAGGTAAGCATTATATTAGGCCTGCAAATAGCGAAACTAATGCTCTTGGTAGCAAATAACCTACAAATCTTTAAAGTTGCACGAGATATCAAGACAGACTGCAGATTCAAATAGAAACATTGTTCGGAAGTAAATACTAAACACAAGAAGCATTCCAAATTACCTAATGTATCCAACCAATCACTTATTCAGACAAACACACACACATACAGCCTATCTATCAAATACAATCAGCCATTTTCCCTGGCATTTATATATGCAGTACAAAACAAATTCAGTGAACAAGACTGGCTACCATTAATATTCAGAATGTCTACATTTTTGGCTGAAGGATTCCAGTTAATTTCTTCTGATAAAATGAATTAAAATATCTATTGCACGGACTAATCTTATACTAGTGAGAAATCTCAGGAAACACATTTTTCTTTTGCAGCCAATTTATTCTTTACAGGGGTATAGTTGCCTGAACTTCCAAAAGAACCTATAAAAACAGTTGCTACCAAATGAACACCTGTAACATGCATCCCTAATTTCAAAAGAGTTGTAGTATTTCTATCTAGTTGATTTGTTCAATAAATAAGTAAATATGTAAACAAGTGTAACTGTACTCATCTTTAACAAATAAGGCATGACTTCAGGGGAAATTCAGACATTTTAGTCTCTCAACAAAAGCAGATGACCAAGTCTATATTCAGTATTGATCTAATGAAGCTAACAAAAGCATCAAAATGAATTCTATCAGCAACTGTAATCACCTCTTTATGAAACAATATTAGTACTAAATAATTGAGGAAAATAAAGGAAATTAAAATGTAGCCATCAGAACACTGGTAAGATGAAAAATAAGGACTCTTCAGATTAAATGAGTTTTAAGATTTGAAGAAAAGACTCTATATCAATACACAGATAATAACTATGCAATAAAGATCAGTTTTTGCAAGATTTCAAACGCTGCAAGTACTCAGAGGTAAGCATCAACTCATTTATAGCCTCTTCAAAAGAAATAAAGCTTAATGTCAATTAAATATCCAAAGTAATATTGCAAAATATAGGCTAAAAACAAGTAGATAGGATAGGCAGAGGAAAGAAATATATCAGACTAGCAAAAAGACTGCCCAAAAAGAGACTCCATTTGTGATAAGGTAAAATGAAGGGATCTATGCCCAAGACTGACCTGTGCCATCGCTTGCAGAGACAGAGAGCGCCGGTGAAGAGAGTTTAGGCCTCTTGGCTGAAGGCGGGCCCGACTCCACCACATTCTCGGCCATTTTTAATTCTTTTTAGACAAACAGAGCCCAAATTGAAGATGGGGATCCCCAATGCCTTCAGCCGTTTTCTGTGATCCAAAATCAACCGAAGAGCAGTATGGAAATGGACTGAAGAAATAGACAAAGTTCCTCTTTTTCGGCTCCTCGAGATCGATTTCTGTTGGATAGCAGTGAGTAAGGGGGAACAGAGATGGGAAACAGGGTGTGGAAGCAGTCTTTTCTCCGGGCCACAGGGAAAAACAAGGATGAAAAGAAGAGAACAAACCCTTCCTAAAATTAATTAAAGGGGCTCGGTAAATTTACAAATCGAATTAAATCCGGCCGTAGAACAGTTGGTGCTTCCTCACCGCCGCCGCCAATACCACCATCTTCATCCTCCGGGGGGTCGTCGTCTTTTCCTCCTGCTGCTGCCTCTTCGCCGCCATCAACCTCTTCCTCCTCGGCGTCGTCCTCCTCCTCCTCATCGCCACAAGGAGGCGGGCGAAGGAGGAGAGGCGAAGAGAAAAAGAATCGTTTTTCTTTGCTCGCAGTTCTTTCCTACTCCTTCCAAAACCAGCTTGCAACGGAGGAAAATGCCTAGGCGGATGAACAAGGGGCTGGGGAAGGGGATCGCAGACGGAACGTACCGAGGGTCCCCCCAACTCCCCCTGCGCCGTCCCTGCTAATCACTAATGGCTGCAGAAAAGGGAGCCGTAAGGAGGAGGAGGAGGATGAAGCTAAGTCCCAGGAGTCTCCGCTTCACATCTTGTTGTGCAGGAACAAGGAGGCGGAGGAGAGATATGTGTTGTCCCGATGGAGGCAGCAGAGATCCTGGGATGGGAGCTGGAGAGGGTGGGCTCCAGGACGCGCGCCTGCCACCCCTCCTTTTCTTTCCTTTCTTTCTCTCTCTCCGGCAGGGTACCCCTTTCTGGTGAGACGACGGGATCGATCCCAAAGCAAGGAGAGGAGGAGGAGGAGGAGGAAGCGGCAGGAGCGGCCCCTCCCCCCTTCTCTCAGCCTCTCCCCCCCTCCCCGGAGGATACGGATGGTTACGAGCGCTCGATCTATGGAAAGGATAAGGCTCTCTCCTCGACACTGGAGACGCCGTGCCTCAGGCGCTTCAGCAGCGGCCCCGTCTCCTCTCCACCATATAGACCCGCAGGAAAGGAGATGTTCAGAGAAGAAGCAGCTCTCCAAATCGAGGCGAAGCGGTCTCCCAGACCCGCGAACGTGCTCAATTGCCAGGAGAAATTGGGGTGGAGTCCACCCGGGGTCCCGAGTTTCTAGCCGAAACCGGGAGTGCGTACTCCCCTACTGGCTACGAGGCTAGTACAGTGGGTATATCACGGAGGTTTCAGGTTGTCTCGGGTCTGGCCGGCCGGGGGCCCTGAGTTGCCGAAGGTCTCTGCCGCTGTTTTCCACCTCCAGGGCTGTACCCGCCTAGCTCGGTGCTTTTCGTTCGCTCCCTCCCCTCAATCGCTCACACACCAACAAAATGGCGGCTGTTGTTTCTTCACTCTCCCGATTCCTCAGAGGGAAGCGAGCGGCCGCGCCGGAAATGAGCCAAGAGAAAAAAGGGCGTGTCCAAAAAAGGAGAGGCGGGGACGCACGCACTCGCACACACAATGGAACGCGGAGGGCTAGGAGGGGGGAGATCCCGAGGCGGGGCCAACTCCGGTCACGAGACTGGCTCGGCCACTCGGCTTGCGAGCCTTAAGTGATCCCTTCCGCAAACTCTCTCGCCTAAATTTCTTAAAGGGGCAGGAGAACTTATCTTTTCCCCCTCCCCTCTCCTTACTGTTTTTCAGTCGGCCGAAATGTGCCGCGAGGTTGTTCCTTAGGCCAGTCCTATTATAACCCAGAGGTGGGGGGGGGGGGGAGGCGGTGTATCCTGGAACCGACCGTGGCCGAAATGCGCATCAGAAGCTATTTGTGTGAAGAGGGGCCTCCTTCTCTCCTTTACCCACTTGCCTTAACACCTCAACCTACACATAGTGGCCAAAAGATTTGGTCAGCAAAATAGTCTCTCACGTATACACACAAATGTAAAAGAGGACGACGGCGCTGTGCGCTTGTGTGTCAGCCAACGTATAAATCATTAATGTTAGCCGTTCCGTATGATAGTATAGCCGAGACCCCACTCAAGATACGGGCTCAAGGCAGGGTTGGGAAGGACTTTTATCCAACAATCCGTATTGCCCAACACGGAATTCTCGCTTTCCTGTCAGAATCAATGTCTGACGCTCCCAAAGGAAAAGGAAATTCAGCTGAGCGAAGAAGAGGTTTTTATTACGCAGGAGGACGTGGGGACTTCGTTGTGCCTGGATTCATGTGCATTTCCTTGTAATACCATGAACCGAACTGCTCTCGCTGCCCGCGACTTCCTACAAAAAATCGGGCTCCGTGTAGGTTAAAGGAACGCGGATTGGCGGGATGTATATAGATAAGCATGCCTGCCACTTGCCCTTCAGTTCTCTGTGAACGGGTCGTTCTCTTGGGAAGCCCCTAAGCATAAATAACAGCCCTTTCCCCTGTCATATACTTGTATTTGTGAAACGTGAGGATTCCACTCTATTTCTCCTCTTTCTCTCCTAGATCCTTATCACGGGAGATGAGGAACCAGTTCATTAAACTTTAGGCTACGTGGCCTCCTCCTAGTCAGTAATTAAAACTGCCTGGTCATTTGAACGTACCTATTACCCTTCATTGATATTCACTTTCAGGTTAAGCAAAGTTGGGCAAAGACTAGAAAAGGTATAAAATGGTGAGGAGAATAAATAAAAGGAATAAACGGGAGTAAAAGAAATGTACAAAAACCTTGTTTGTACAAATGCAATTCAATATATCACTCCTGTACAGAGAATCTAGTAATTTGTGTTTGTGTAAATTATACTTATGTAAATTTCCTTTCCCAATCCTTGCTTCCAGTAAGTATATTATTCACTAATTCTATGTTACCTTTTTGTTCTTTAAACTTCTCATTTCTTTCTTTTGAGGATCTTTCCAACTCTATCCAATCACATTTTTCAGTCTTCCCTTCTCCATTCTTCCTACATATTTTCATTTTGTGATTTGTTTCTCATTCTCCATGACTAAACTATATAAAAGTCTTTCTCCTTGGTCATTCACTCTTTGTATTTACATTCATTCCGCACCTATTAATTCTTCATATTCTTGTTTTTAACTAAACACTTTTTAAGAATACTATTCTGCTTGGTTTACAATGCTTTGACTTGTACATCATACAATGGATACAGAGTATCCAGATACATGACTATGTATTAATTTTACATTCTAACATCATGCTATTATTCCCTTTCAGGGTAAGCACTTTTATGCAAAATAAATTAAAAGCCTGAGATTAAACCACAAAATGAAAGTTAAACGTAGTATAGACCAACACTATACATCTTCATATTTGTCAATTCTTCATTAGGACAATTTATTACTGCATACATTGCCTTTTGTTTTTAAATTATGTTTTGGAATATCTCATGAATTCCACCCAATTCCAATTTTCTCAGTCTTTGTTTTCTCTCTCTTTTTCTTCTCCTACTCAGCCTTCTTTTATACATTTTTACAATTTTATTTTTTCTTTCTTCAAACTATCTCAATTTACTTTCAGATTATTCATTCAAATCTGATTTCAACCCACATTCATTCAGCACCTATTCATTTTTACTCTATTTTAATTTTAACATCTAAATACTATTCTAAATCCAGTTTACTTTTATATTTCTCCTAGCATATCTAGTTCTCACTTCCAGGTAACAAAACGGGCAGAAGCACATTTCTGTATAGCCATTTCCATTTCTCTCAACATAGTGTTATTTCGCAAACCTCCTAACTTTCGAAGAGTATTTGCTTGTTTTAACATTTCTCCATTTTTTAATTTTTAATACACATTCCACTATGCTACACAAATTCATCTATATGATCTAGTTTCATAATTTATGTACAATTTGCAATTGTTTTCTCTATCTTCTCTGTCCAACAAAGTTATATTGATTATCAATATATTAGTTTACCTATCTTTTTATATAATAAATTATATTTAACATTTGGTATAAGATATTTGGCTTCTCAATCAATAAAATGAGTTCCTCTGCATATAAAAATATACACATTGATATCTCTAATCAAAATATTCCTAATATCTGCACTTGATCTTAGCCAAAAGATTGAGATGTTATACATTTGTATGATTTGGGTTTCTCTTCAGATAGTATAAATCTGCAACATAATCAGGAAGTAATCATAGAGGGGTGATACATCCTCAGCTTCCTCCCTGCTTAATGATTAAGTGCCAAGTATTCCATTTTCTCTTTCATGCTGTATTTACATCATATATCTCCCTTATCATATTCTGTAACCAACTTCCATGTTTGTGCAACATTTTCTATAATTGGTCAATTTATTTTATTATGTGCTTTATCTAAATCAACAACATAAAATTGCTTTCCCACATAACTTTTTCAATAACCTACTAAAAAGCAAAAATATACACAATTTGCTATTCAGCATAATGCTGCACCACATATCATAAGTTTTATTACTACCTCTCTTACCCTTTGAGTCAAAATTCTGCAGAATACTATCTCAAGAGTTTTCAACAAATTATTTTCACTGTAATGTTTGCATTCATCCTTATTTTTTCCTTTGTAAGTCATTCTTAATCATCTTTATGGTCCTTATGCACATTTATTTATCAAATTAGAAACCATCCATCTCAATCTCAAAGGACATGTTAAACTTTTTCATATCTATATATTAACATATCTCTAGTCACATGTATGCTTTCAGGGTAACAATTTTTACCTGTTCATAGTATTAACTTTTTCATCATTTCTTTTCCTAAACATTGATGTTTATAGTATTCATTAATTTCAGTTCCTCTCTTCAATACACCCCTATGATTCCCATGCAAACCTTTAAAATATTCCTTCCAGTATTCTCTCATCACAAATCATTTGATTATTTTTATTTTTAATTCCATTCATTGTGTTGGAGGCCCTTCTTCATCAGATTTTTCCCACTTCCAAAGGCATTTATATTATTATATTTCCATCAACACCATTCTGCCATTTCTCTGCCTCTACCTAATCTTAATTACTGCTTTGGAATACATTCAACTCTTTTTTCGCTACAGTTACACACTATATTTCTCTTGTCCACATTTTTTCCATAAACCATTGTTTTATGTGTACAGGTTGTTTTCTATCCATAACGTTTTGCACTTCATTCTACCTACTATTATTTTTCATACTTTCCACTACAGTAGTATAACTCTACACATTTCTATTTCATGTACTGAAAAAATAATTGTTGTTACTCTGATCCAGGATGATTCCATATCTGCTTTCTTATGTCAATTTTCTATTCATTCTGTGGGGAGGTGACAGGTTTTGTTTCATATAAATTAATATTTTCTGCAGTTATTCTATTTTTGGTATTTTCAATTTCTTTCCCCCCATGATTTACACTTAATGGTCAAGTAACAGTTTGGTCCATATTCAGGATCTTTCCTCACACTTGTATCATTTGTTAGACTTTCATCACTTTTGATTATAATCAATGCTTTTAATTACTTTGTCTTTGTAAATATCGATAGCCTTATTTTTAAATCTCAGGTTCAAAAACAAACCATCATTTTTCTAATCAGATATTGATCAAATATCATTTTAATTCATCCTTAGGTCTCTTTGTTCCCATATTCATGTCACCTAACAAAATATTTTCCCCCAGGTCAAATTCATTTAGAATTTTACACAATTTCTCCTAAAACTCAACCATGGTCTTTCATTATTACCATTCACTAAAGTATCATATCTAACTTTCACTAACCTAAAATTCTCATGTTCATATGCATCTATCACAATTCAGAAGACAACACTTTCTGATATACATTTTTAACACTTAATTCATACCCTGTTTCCCCAAAAATAAGATGTCCCTGAATAATAAGCCCAATTGGGCTTTTGAGCACATGGGGGCCTCTTGCACCTCAAAAATAATAAGACCACCCTGAAAAAAAGGCCAAACGCTTATTTCGGGGGGGGGGGGAGAAAATAAGATGCTGTCTTATTTTTGGGGAAACACGGTAGCAAATACATACTTTTAGTGCTATGCTTATATCCATCACTGTTCCTTTAGAAAACCCACACTACCTTAATTCAGTTCTATTAGACCAGTGTTTTTCAACCTTTTTTGTGCAAAGGCACACTTTTTTCATGAAAAAAATCACGAGGCACACCACCATTAGAAAATGTTAAAAAATTTTAACTCTGTGCCTATATTGACTATATATAAAGTAATTCTCCCACGGCACACCTTACACTATGTCACGGCACACTAGTGTGCCGCGGCACAGTGGTTGAAAAACACTGTATTAGACTCTTCCCTTTTCTCTGAATAACAGAGATATGCAACTTACCTGTTTTCCTTTCTTTCCACTTGTTTAT